TGCGCCGCCTGCCCGGTGCATTACAGGCTGCTGACATCCTTACGCCGCGGAAGTGGGCTTGCCAAAACTCCTGTCTGAGGTTGGCTGACGTGTTTGGCACTGCTGGGCCCTGCCAGCGGGTTCCTCCGCTGTTTGCTGGGAAAAGGGCAGTGCAGGCCAGGAAGAGGAGCTGTTTAGCCAAAGTCTCTTTGGTTTGCCATTGGCAGTGCTGTGGGATGACACAGTGAGAGGTAGGGAGGTGTGATGCCTCTCAGCTTTTTCCAGTGATCCTGTCTTCAAAGAAGTACATTTCCAAAGTTCCTTGATGCCTGCTAGGGTGTTTTATGTGACTCATGGATTCACTTTCCAATCTTTTGCTGTTTTCTTTTGCTTTCTTTTCAAATTATCCATCATATATGGACATCCCATCCCTGGAAGTGTTTGAGGGCAGAGTCCATGTGAAATCTCATCTAGTGAATGGTGTCCCTGCCCGTGACAGGGGGGTGGATGAGATGATCCTTGAAGGTCCCTCCCTACCCAAATCATTCTGTGATTCTGTGAAAGGCTGTGCACTTTGAATGCTAAGCATTCATGCTCAGGCAACTGGAGGTGTGTGTTGTCACTCTAGTGACTGGAGGGCTGAACTCAGAAGAGAGCAAGAGGCTTTTTGACAAGGGACTTGTTTTGAGGGGTTTTTTGAGTAAAATTTAAGTAAATCAGGGGTGATTACTTCCACTGCAGCAGTACTGTACAGTCTATTTTTTTTGTCTGTTTTTTTTTTCTGAACACAGCATTTTCTCCTTTCACAATTTCTGATGCAACTGCCCCAACAAAGACAAAGGGTGTATCAAAGTTGTTGCCACGCTAATATGTAGACTGCATTCATTGACTTTTTATGTGTTTGCATCTGATATGCTCATCAGTTCATAAGATTATTTTAAGTCAGTGGAACAAAAAATCCAATTTTGGGATTCATGATAATTGACTAAAAGTGTGTTTTTTGAAAGACTATATAGTAGTTCTATGGCACGCATTTGTGTAATTTCATTACACAAAGTGCTTTTCCAGTGTAAGTTTTCCCCTGCAGGGTCAAGTTGACTAAACGTTTTCTCCACTACTGTAAGTAAACTTTCTGCAACAGGGCTTTTTGGGAATGGATATGGTGGATTGACCCTGGCCCACCAAAGCAAATCTCCCATTCTCCTCAGCAAGGCGGCAGAGAGAAAATATCATGAAAGGTTCCTGGCTCGAGATTAAGGGCAGGTAGAGATCACTTACCAATTACTATCATGCAAAACAGACCTGACTTGGGGAAATTAGTTTAATTTATTGCCAATCAACTCATGTTAGTATAATGAGTAATAAAACCAAACCTTAAAAACATTTTCCCCCCAACTCCTCCCTTCTTCCTGGGCTCAACTTCATTCCTGATTTTCTCTACTTTCTTCTCCCTGAGCAGTGTAAAGGAACTGCTGTTAAGAGTTGCAGTCAATTCATCACGTGTTGTCTCTTTCACTTGCTCCTCCTCAGGTGGAGCTGCCCTCACACTCTTCCCCTGCTCCAGTGTGGGGTCCCTCCAACAGGAGACAGTCCTCCACAAACTTCTGCAATGTGGGTCCTTCCCAAGGGCTGGAGTTTTTCACAAACTTCCATGGGATGCAGTCCTTCAGGAACAGGCTGCTCTAGCATGAACTCTCCCAAAGGGTCACAAGTCTTTCCAGCAAACCTCATGGGCTCCTCTCTCCGTGAGTCTGCAGTTCTCCCAGGAGCCTGCTCCAGCACAGGCTTCCCATGGGCTCACAGACTCCTTTGTGCATCCATTAGACCATCTGCTCTGATGGTCTGTGGGTGAATCTCTCCTCTACCATGGACCTCCATGGACTGCAGGGGCACATCTGCTTCCCCACGGTGTGCATCATGGGCTGCAGGGATGCCTGGAGCAGCCCCTTCCTTTCCTTCTTCATAGACCTTGGTGTCTACAGGGCTGTTTATCTCACATATTCACTCCTCTCTCCAGCTGCAATTGTGTGTTTTCCTCCCTCACCGTCTTAAATAAGTTATCCCAGAGGTGGTGCCATCGTTGCTGATGGGCTTAGCCTCAGCCAGCAATGGGTCCATCCTGGAGCCAGTGGACATTGGCTGTAATGGACATGGGGGAAGCTTCTGGCACCCCTGTAGCCCCACAGCTACCAAAACCTTGCCATGCAAACATCATACAATGGGATAAAGCTGTGCTATTCTAACTAGATGGTGCTGGATCAGGTGTCATTCATCCCCCCCACTGCCCCTTAGCATGGTCTGTGGCTGCTTTGACAGAAATGTGCCTCTCCATGCTGGTGGTCTGCCAATGCAGAGACCTCCATGGTGCTCATGCTCACTGTAGCACAGCCTGAAACACGCACTTTGGACATTATTGTTATTAATCCATGAGCAGTGTCATCCACATATATTGCACCCTACCTCCCAAAGGGTCTTTGTGTTACCAGAGGGGTAAGAAGAGTAATAATCTAGAAGTCACAGGTAGGAAAGGGAAAAGTTTGCTTACCGGGTATATAAAGGATCAGCAGATTTTTTGGAGTGGGGGTGTACAGGTGGGGAGAAATCTAAACAGGCACAAAACTCAAGGGTATGATTAACTAGGGCATTGGACAGCGTCTCTGACCACATAGGCAGAGAAATGCCTGCAGCTTATCAGGAGGACAAAGAAAGGGAAGGAGGCTCTTTTTCCATCTCATCCCCAAATAAACAGATTTGACTGACTTCTGTCTCTGTCACCTGTGGCTTTATGAAGGTTTGCATCAGTACTGTCTGCTCCAAATGGACACATTCAGCTGTATGACCAGGGTCTTTTCTGAGTCCGAATTTTCACCACAACCAAGGCATTGAATCCCCACTATTGTGATTGTGCTTGTAGTAAGAGTTCTGGAGGACACATACAGAGGAGGGCAGGCTGATGTGTTTCTCCAGGATATCCAAGAGGCAACTCAGTACATTTAATATGAGTTGCATAGGTCAGTACCAGAATAGGTACTCCCGCTGGAGAAGAAGAGGCGACTTCCAGGTGAACTAATCCAGAAACACTCTTCAGTGTTCTTGTTGCTTCAGGATAACAAGGAGTGTGTCCGCACTACCTTTTAGAAGTGTTAAAAAAATTAGATACACATGTTTTTAACTGATATGTATTTATCCCCATGAGATTTTAGAGATCCATTCTGGATATTTTCAGTACTTGTGCTCAATTGTAGTGGGGAGCAGTGAACTATGATGGGATGCTTCAAGAGCTGCCTCGTTGTTTGCCCATCTGAGCAAATCAGTTTCTTGCAGTGCACAAATCTTGACTCCATTGTCTTTTGTCCAGGGTAACATGTCCTCAGAGGAAGATCTGGATAGCAAAAAGTTAGTTCCAAGCAGAAGGCCCAGGTCAGTAGTTACGTGAAACTTAATGCGTTCCTCCTAAGGTCAGTTGTTATAGGAAATTTAAATGCCATGCAGCTGGTACCCAGCCATTCATAGTGGAATGAACTTCACTTTCTACCACTTGTAGACTCCCATTAAATATTTAACAATTGAGGAGGACAAAAGCAGGAGCTATAGGTATTATGGGATGGAGAGCCTGCTGCTGCAGAGGGACAACTGCACACTGCTGCTTGTGCAGCTTCAGTAGAGACTTACAGTGCTTGAAATCACTCGGGAATGTTTTGAGGAGGGAGCTTTCTGGTTCTGGCCCAGCAAAAAAATTTTTAGGGTGCTCCTACCTAATTTTCAGACAGCCAAAACCCACCTTAGTTATCAGGTCTAAGGGCTCATTTTGTCTTTATCTGGACCTCTTCTGTTCTCCCCATCTGCTCACTGTGCTTGGTCCCAGTGGTAAGGTAAGCATTTAATCCCAGGTGCTGATCTGTTAGCTTTTAAGAAAAATGTTACGCCCTGACTGGGCATAAAGAGAAGAATCTCTGAACTAATTTACCTGGTTTTGCTGAACTCCCTGTAGAAAGTTAATCCCATCTTCCTTTGTAAGGTTTTAGCTAGAAAAAATGCAATTCTGGGGCTGGTCTCCTCCAAGACCTTGTCTTATTTCACAAAATAATGGCAGAGAGAAATGGTAGTACTTGCCCTACTGCAATGTGTGTTACGTTCTACCTTGCAAAGCTTTAGTAACCCAGCTCTCTGATGGACAGTTAAATCCCAGAGCCCAGAGGACAGAGTCCAGCATTGCATTCTGTTGTGTTGCCTCTTCTTTCAGTTTCAGGCTGACTTCCTTCACCTTCTCTGTCTTCATGGATGCAGACAGAGGGTAGATGTTCGCACATGTGCCTGAGTTGTGCTTGAAAAGCATTAAACTATGAACTTCAGGCACTCATAAAAAGTTCATCCATGACGTCAACAGTGCACACATTTGGCTGCAAGACCCACTCAAGAAGCTGGGTAAATTCCTAAAGCAGTTAAATACTCATTACCTGAACACATTTAGCTATGTTTTACCTGAGTTAAAGCCACAGAAGGTAAGAGGCAACCCCTGTGAATCAAGGGCCAGTTAATAGGAGCCTGTAAGAAGCAAAATACCTAAACACTTATTGGAAATACTTTTTGGAAACACTTTTTGGTCATAACTGTAGGAAACCTTCAGCAGTAACAAAAATATTTCTGTTGCTCCTGTTGAAGCTTGCTATGTGCATTTCCAGCTTGTGCTTGCAAGAATGAAAACCAGTTTTAGCAAATCAACAGAAGAGCCCTGCTGCACTTTCTGCAAGGCATCAAATGAACGGGACAGCAGAAAGGGTGACACTGTCCTTGGGTCCCAAAGCACAGGCTGCACCTGGGGGCTGCATTTCACACAGCAGCAGCTGCTCAAACCTGGGGCACTGCCTCTTTGTGAGCAAGGCAAGCAAGTACTGCCACTGCAGAACAGGTGAAGAGAACCATCAGGAAGGAAACATTGCGTGTCATTTATGGGATTACACCCAAAATGTTTGAGTGGCTTTCTATCGACAAATCCTAAAAAATGCAAATGCAAAACAAGAATCTCACAGTGTGCTTTTATTATTTTTTCACAATATAAACTAGACAGACATGGAAAGTTTAATGGCAGCATGTTCTTATAACATTTTAAAGACAAAGAACAACATAATCATATTAAATGATGATAAACTGACAAACTACATTACCATACATACATCATCCAAAGGTACTGGATAAACAATATCTGCTTATGTACATTTATGCTGGTGATAATTAAAATTCAAATATTCAGAAGAAAAGGAAAAAATTGCTATTTAAATTATAAAAATATATAGTTTTTGTGTGGAACTCTTAATGCTGTATTACTTTTTGAAGATAATTCCTTTGTGTGATGAAGCTGCATTAACTTAGTATAGAAGTGTAATTTAAACCAAATACAGATTAAATTAGCTCTTTTGTCTACCTTGCATTTAGCCTTGTTGGAAAAAGAGATAGGAATGAAAAATAAAGCTGGACTTTTGCAATGAGAAAGAATTTTTATACCCATAAATTAAAATATGTATAATTTTTCATATATATACTGCGCCATAACCTCGTAATAGAAATAAATCACTTTGCTAGTTTGTTCAGAGATAGAGAGAGGAAAAAGAAGAAAGGCTTTAAACATGCTACTTCATGATACTTTTAATCAATAGGTTTGTGAAGTGCAGGTGCACAGCTGAGCAGTGTCATGCTCCAGGGTCAAAGCATGCAGTCCAGACTCCTGCTGCCTCAGCTGGGGAGACTGTGTGGACTGGGGGGACTGGGACCGTGTTCTCTGAACTGCATCACCTTCGTGTTACCTTTGCACATCTGGTTTCAGGCTTCTTTTTTCATAATTGCTCCTTCTTAGTGCAAAACTACTCAGGCTATATAATCCCCAATCGTAACAGCAAACCGATGAGCTTTTACAGACTAGATAATTTTACAATAATTTATTGTAATTTTGTAATTGCAGATTTTTAGTAATCATAGCCATGTAGTGCACACATAGCTGCTTTTAGCTAACAGTTATTTTCAGACCATCTTGAGTGAACTCCTGCAACATGCGAAACTGAAGATTTTCTTACATACCAATGTCATTCTCCGTATCTTCCAGCTCCCTTTCTCATCTCTCTCTATAAATCCCTGTTACCTCAACAGCCCCATTAATCCTTTGGTGGATCCAGTGCTTGTTCCATTGAGAAATGTTCTCTGTATCACCTCTAATTTCAGAATACTTTTGCGCAGTTTTTTCATCTATTCCTAAGTAACTGATTTATGACAGATCTCAGGTGATCCTACAGATTATTTTTTCAGAAGCAAAATACTTGTCTTCATTATTTTCTTAAAAAATAGAGTGAAAAAGAATTAAGGACACCTAAGCTGAATATAGCAAAACCCAGTACTTCTCTTTGATGCCTATGCATTTGCTGTTTTTAAAAGGTATTAACAAAGTTCTATAGAGAAAAATAATTGTGGGGTCTCTGCAAGCTTTTTCTCTGCCCTTATATCATCCTTTTTCAATGGAAAGGATGAAAGATAAACAAATTCCAAGTAGCACTCATCTTTAACCAGGGAGATGGTTCAGTGATCTCTCTATTTCCCTCCACTTCTGACCTCTTCCTTCCTTTCTAATCTCTGGTTCTCTACACCTAAACACTTCAGAAGTGTCCCTCTTTTTAATTTTTTTCCCCCTTTCACAATATGGATATGGTGGGAGTGGTCAGATGTCTGTGCATACACAGTGACAGAGGATGGGTTTTCACTGAAGCGTAGTCTTTGAGCGTGGAAGTCTGTAAGGCATTTTGTGGAGGAAAAAAATCTTACATGGAAATGTAATGAAGAGTAGGAAAGACAGGAATTATTGCAAAAGAAATGCAGGAGTGAGAAGAGAGGATTTTATTTAAGAAGTTCAAGCTTTTATATACATTCAATGTTTCTAAATGTTTTCTTAATAAATGTATTATCAACTATCATTATACCTAATGCAGCCACAATACTGTACTATTCTGCAGTCAGGATGGGAAAACTCCATCAGCTCTTTAATAAAATAAAATCATCAACAGTCATCATGACTCTTCTCTTTGCCTGGTACTAAGAAATACACTGGGAAGTCCAGTGAGTAGACACAACAGAACACAAAATCCTCAGTATTCATTTAATTGTGTATCATGTGTCGTCTTCATATTATTTCTAAAGCAGCTTAAAAAAACTTTAGCCATTGGAAGGTATTAAAAACCAAAACCCCATTCAAATTATCCTGGTATTATAGCAGCACTGGAATTGATATTTTTTACTACTTTTGACAATGTAAACCTTTAATAAAACAAACAATGTTGAAACAATTTGAGGTCTAATAGTTCATAAACTTTAATGGGCATATGGGCACTAATCGAAACGAAGACTAGATTGTGAAATGAAACATAAGCTCAATAGCAGCCAATTCCAGTTGTGCAATTGGCTGCAAACAAATTCAGTTTGTAAGCTGAGATAAAAAACAAAGCCCACACTCAATCCACAATACTCCTCAGTTCCTCTGATTTGAAATATTTTACATAAAACCCCTACATGACCATGCCCACTTTTTAGAGAAGCACTCTGAAAGCACTGCAGGTACTAACTGTCTGATGATGGGATTTTTTCCTTTTCCTTTAATCAAGCATAGTTCACATTTTTGTCCTCTTAGAAATATCTCCTTTCCACGTTTTTATAAAAAAGTAATTTCAAATCTGAAATGTAAGCTTGCCCCATCTTTGCTCATACAAAGTGTAGGTGCCACAACTAAATAGCAGTAAAAATGCTGAGATGTACAACTCTTAAAAAAAAACCAACCAAACATAAAAGCAGCTTTGAAGACACAATATCAACTACAGCCTTAACATTGAACATATTACATTCCCGAGTTACTGGAGATATTTTGCATATAATGCCACAAAGTTATTCAGCTGAAATCTTGAGGTTGGAGCTACAGTTTATTCATTGTGTGTTTTTCACCCTTTGAGCACTTATGTATTGTACGGTACATTTTATCCAGAGCTTTGCAAACTTTCCTTTTATATCTGGACATCCATTTACCCACAAATCCCACATTTCAAAAGTTTCATAGCAAAAATAGAAGCGCAGGATTTAAAACATTTGAAGCTGGACATTTCCATGCCTCAGAGCAGCCCCTGGGACTCGATGCTTCAGAGTCTCCGGTTTCCAGGGGACTCCTGGCCCCCGTCGAGCTCAGGGAAAGCCGTGCTTTGAACACAGGTCTGTTTATAAGACTGTGTTATGTACTCTGTGTTAATTTCACATGCCTTGCGTTTTGTAACAGGAGCAGATGACTTCACGCCTCCCCCTCCCCCTTTCCCTTCACCCTATTTTCACTTGAGATGACAGTAGGCACCTGCACAAGAGAGGTGTCAAAGAGTCTCTGTCCAGAGAGAGGATTTTGAATTTCTTCATCAGCTTTTCTTCTGTAGAAAGTCTTAGGAGACTATTCGTATGAAAATATTTTGAGGGCGAGGGGCAGGATGATAAATCTCACTTTCCTTTCCTGTTATGAATATGAACTAGATTTTGGTGTCCAGTTTGATAAACAAGGATAGTCAGAGCTAATCTGTAACTTAGCTGAGGTCTGCTTTTTGCCAAATAAAATTAAGATCTTTTTCAACTTTCAGGGATTTAGAGACCACATCTAATTGGTTTCAAACCCCCGGAGGAACTCTGTAAGTAAGCAGGATTAGTTGCAGATATGAGGCCCACTAAAGTGGGACACAGGTCAGGACTTCAGACTCCAGCTCTGCTCTGTTGAAGCAGGCACTTAAGGTCTCCTGATCTTTCTGTGTCAGTAGCCACAAAAAACATTTTGCTGCTGAGAAAATCATTGGAACATCAATTTCCTGCGAGCCCCAAAGATTTAACTTCACACTTCTATTAAAAGAAAAGTTGACGTGTTATGTGGGTATTGTGATTATGATGTGATGGCACAGCTGGTAACTTGAAAACACATGTTTAAAAGGCATAGGCAACCATATTTCCAACTGTTCTCCTGTAGGGATAGCAGAGTGTCCTTCAAGAAGTTTCTGTCTTGACTCCACATATGTACCATGTTGAATTGTTTACTACGTCAGTTCTTGCCAGCAGGACAGGGTGAGAACTTTGTTCATGCTGACCTTGTCTCTCAGATCCCTCCCAGAAAATGCTAGGAAATTCAACACAATTTGGCAGTTTTTAGCAGCTCAAGTAACTGCCCTTGTAAGTGTAAGCAGGTAGGTCTTTGTCAGTATATTTGCTCTTCAGAGATAAAATAATCCAGCCAGCGGCATTAATTAAAAAAAAAAAGAACGTAAAATACTCTGGGGCTCATTAAAGTTAAGAATAACAACATGATGTGATGACAGGTACAACTTGCTGAGGTTCTGAAAATAGCAGGTTAAAATGTAAATATCTTTTAATAAATAATTTTCCGGCAATGTAAAAATAAATGATATTTCCTTTGGCAGTAATAGCTGATTTAATCTTTCGCTGGGAAGTTGCTTTGCTCATAAAATATCATTGTGCTACAGAAAAAAAAATATTATTTTGTTGTTTTGAAAGACTTTTGTAATCCACAATAAACTGGGTGACTCTACTTATGTCCGAGATAAGCGCCAAGAGTGATGCAAGCTCCCACCAGAACCAGACTCAGGATAGTCTTCAGAGAGATCCAGGAGAAATCGAACAAAGGCCTCATACCATTGCCATACAACTCCACAAAGGCATCCTAGAAGGGGAAATAGTGAGAAAAGGAATATCAGAATTGCATTTACTGGTTTTTTGGGGGGACAAGGGGAATGGGGAAAGGGAGGCAACTTCTTCACCCTCAGGGATCACCCAACAATCCCGCTGGCACAAGAAGACCACACAAACTTATTAAAATAGTGATTTGGGAGGTCTCTTTTGTGTGCTGAAAAAAAAAGTTCTCCTGCCTATTTCTTTATAAATATTACTGAGATTACTTATGGTTGTGACTTCTGCTTTAGGCACACCCAGTCTAATAGAAAAGACAGAACCAGCATTTTAAAATATAAGTTACCACTATTTTGGGTCCTAAATGTTGTCTATACAAACACACACAAAGGAAGTAGATGAACCTTCATTCTCCAAATCTTTCATTTCCACTGGATAAGGAGCATCTATATTGCAGGTCAGCTTCATTGAAAATAAGGCAGTATTTGTTTAGTTCCCTGGGGATGGGCTCAGAAGACTTTGTGTAGTAGCCACAGATGTTTCTTGCATATGAACTGAAGGTGTTAGGGTTGTGTTATACCTATGATAATCTTTCACAACTGTCACCAATGAGGGTGATGCCGTGGTCCAGTGCTCCAGGAAAATCTGGTCGTGCACGTAGGCACCAAATGGAAATGCTGTTCAAGAAGCAAAGATAAAGTTTTTGTGACTCATAAATACAGTGGGATTTGACTGGGCTAATGACTGGATTGGTGATACTCGGCACGTAATGCCTTTCTTTCAGGCAACAATTCCTAATGAGCATGACGCTTGAGGGCATTCCTCAGAGACAGATAAATCATACTGTACGGCACGAAAGCAGTAAATAGCCAAGCTGAATGACTTTAAAAATGTGACAAAACTGATAGCATCATTTATGGCAACTCTTTTACTGTGCTGCCAATTAAGGTCTGCTCCCAAGCTATTGCAATAAGCCCATGAAACAGCTATCTAACGTGACAGTTTCTATCTCTACTTTTAATACCCCAGACTTCCCATTTTTGGTAGAAGATCACATTCTCTATTAAAGTTATAGTGTCTTTAGCTGTTTTGCAATGTTATTATGCTAGGAGTTGACCTGTCTTCTAATAATGCATATCTGTCTTCTAATAATGCATATATTGTTATGGTTTACAGCAGAAACTGAGGAGAGAAAGGTGTCCATTATTAATGTAAACCTTCCAACTGAGTTAATGACAATCAAATTCTGTAGTAAAATTAGCTTCCCTCATCAGGCATCTCCAGTTATCATCAGAAGAGGCGCGTCTGTGGTTTTACCAGGAGAGGGCGTGTAAGGATTTTTAATATTCTGACTTCTATTCACTAGACGCTGAGTGAGATTCAAATAAATAATAGATATTTGCTTCCAAAATGTGTTATTGCATTAAGTAATATTGGTGCATGTTATAGGTCAGAGTGGATGTAAGTAGGTAAGGCTTGATAGCAGAACAGCCACAGGCTCTGGCCAAGCGAGTGACGTGAAAACACGTCTGCCTCTTGCTATTTCTCAATGCTTGTTCCTCTAGGCAATCATTTTCCAACTTGGGTTTCCAAAGGTATATTCTCAAGTGAAAACAGCTTAACCTTTTGTGGGGAGGATAGAATGTTTTAATGCAATCTCTTCATTTCAGAGAGAAATTGGCAACTTTTGCTTAGCTGCCTGTTTTTTGACATAGACATTTGCAAACTCTGGCCTTAATATTCTGCTGTGCTGTTGCAGAGCTGAAAAAGCACACTCAGTTTGCTGTACAGCTCTTTGGAAAGCTGCTTTTATTTCTCCTTAAGGCTATGAAGTAACACAATATCCTAAAACGTTACAGACTGGGCTAAATCCTGTTGTCACCAGTATAGGCTCAGTGACTTCCACGGGAGCCTTCTCTGTATAGGGAGTTCAAGATCGGACTTATAAAAATACAACAAGGGTAAAGTTCAACACTTGGTGATATTATTATGGGTCAAAAAGAGAGGAAATTAAAAAAAAAAAACCTCATGGAAACACAAGTCATGTGAAAACATTTAAATGTTAAGGTTTTCATGGTTTCTTTCTGTGGGGAAGGTCTCACTTCTGTATATTCATGACAGTGTATGCATATGCAGTATCAATATCAAAATGAGTGTATTTTGTGTTTCCCTTCTATCCCAGTTCAGGAACATTCCTCCCAGTTTTTCTGTGAGACCATTTCCAATGATTCCATAGAGCTTCTGGTACTGGGTATGGAGATGGACAGAGGAGAACAGTAAAACTTGGACACCAGACAAAAATATGGCATAACCTATGGCTCAAAAAAAGGAATGTTAACAAAAAATGTGCAGCATGCAGTACTTTTTTGTCCGAGATTATTACAACAATAACATGAACCCAACCTAATGGTGTCTGCACTATATATTACAAGTAGCTCTTTATGATCGTTCCCCCTCCCCTTCTCAAACATTCTGATTAGGCCTATTTCCGAAGCTTGTTTGAACAGCCTGTCACTATTTGTTTAAGTTTCAAACCTGTTTTAAATAAACACATGTCCATTTTATGTACTAAAACAAGGGGGGTGGGAGGAGGGAAGTATGACCCGTTGCTGAAAACTATTTTAGCACAAAGAGAACCCTAAACAGAATTTTAACCTTTCATAAGGTTTTGTCTTCTGTAAACCCATGTATTTGTCACTGGATTTTTGTCACCTAAACTGCTCTGTTTAAAATAAAAGAATCTCAGCTAAAATAAATAAGATTAGGAAAATTGTTTGAAACACTTCACGTCCTTTGAAAAGCACTCTTTATAATGAAAGCAAGGGTCTCCTTGGCAAATAGACTGAGGCAAGTTCTGGCTTGGTCAACCTTTCTGGAAGTCTTACACAATTGGAAAGAAAATCATTGCAGACCTTGCTTTTAAGACCATCAAAATTTAATGGGAACTTATATCCTGGATGTAAAATTATATCAGGGCTGTTAAAAATTATATGGAAAAGAACTCTTCATTGAGTTCTGTAACTTTTTAAAAAGCCATTTCTTAAGAAGCTTTTATTAAGTCAAATCAGTCTGTTGCTGATTTACTGTGCAAATTTGTGTTGACTATTTCCGTGAAGCAAGAAAGGTGGTGGTGGGGAAGGGAAAGATGCTCTGCCTGAGCTCCTCTTAGGCACCAAAGCCCCTGAGATGCCTGCTTCACCTTTGATTGGAAGCCATGAGGATTGCCCCAAAGGCACCCCTCACTGCCTTCTTGCCCATTGGACTATACGTAGGGAGGACAGAGCATGTTCCTGGCCAGAGTTCCAGGGATTTGCAGGGAGCCCAGGACAGAAGTGAAGTTCGTCACTCTGGGAGGATTAGGAGGTGTAATAGTGCATTGAGTCAGGGCAGTCTCAAAACAAAGAGATCACACTATCCCACTCTTCTGCTGGCCCAAATTCGGCAGCTCTAATCCAAGAAACAAATGTCATTAATTACACGGGCATTCTTTGCTTGTGGAATGAGCCAATTTTGTTCAGCCTCGGTCCTTCCGCAGCTCAGCTTGCACCCCAGCCCGAGAGGCAAGGCACAGCTCCTCGGCCACAGAGGAGGACGTGCTGCCCACAGGCTCAGTCCAGAGCAGCATTATGGATCTGACAGCTCCTCACCAAAAATGTGGAGGGAGAAGGCAATTTCTGCATTTCTGCATTTCTGCCTGGCATTTCTGCCCGAGGGGGCGGCAGGGAGAGCGAACATGAGGAAGTAAACGCTTCCTTTTTCTACCTGAATCAAACAGCTGGTGAGGAAGTGACTTTATTTCCCTCGTTATCATTGGTTTGGCAGGATATCCTCTTGAGCCACATTGTATTGAATGAAGAGCCAGAGAGACTTCCATTTTACTGTACGGGAATTGCCTCGCAGCTATTTTACACTGCCCTCTCTGTGACTCCAAAACAAACAAACAAACAAACAAACACTCACTAGCCCCCAGATTTTGAAGAAACTTGCACAGGTCTGAACAAGGCCAGTTTGCCATGCACTACGGGGCAGGAGAGGGAATAGCACACACTCTGATGCCAAAGTTTGGCAGCTGAATGACTTTTACCTCACCCCTGCCTCCACACGAATGACATAAATTCTCATAAAAGCTTTTGTTCCTGCATGGTAACTCATTTCAGAAAGAGTTTGGGGAGGGAGGGAGGGAGGGAGGGGGTGGACAGAGCTGGTTAAATCGTCCCATGTTTTCTATGCCGTGAAACCTCATTAAAATGTCATCTTGCAGCTAACAAGAAAAGTTCTTGGAACACAAAAAGTAGACAAATGTGTGACTGTTCTTTTCCCAAAGAGTTTATGAGTCTTTCATGCAAGCCTAAGTAGTGAGTACAAATAAGGGCAGCTCAGCCCCTGGCTGTGCTGTGCTGTGCTGAGGTGTGGTGTTTCACAAGGCCCGTATCTTTAGAGAGGCCGATATCCTTTTACACCCGGGAGTGCCGACATGCTGGTAGTCCTGCCAGGTGCACATTAGCAAATTATAATGGGAAGGAAAAGAAGGTGTCACTACACAAACCCTGCTGATCATGGAAAAAGAACCTGCCTGGGGAGTGGCTTTGGCATGTGAACCCCTGAACTGATTTCCATCAGGGTTTTTTTCTTTCCCTCTTCACCTTTGCTCGTGGTAGGAATTGGGTCTATTTTGGAGACACGGTTCAGCGGTGAACAGAGCAGTGCTAGATTAATGGTTGGACTTGATGATGTTAGAGGTCTTGTCCAACCTGCTATGATTCTATGACTCTGTTTTGAATTCTCTGTTTCTGCAAGACCTGACACAGTCTTAGTCTGCAGCTGATGTATTAGATGCTGGCTGCACACAATTTTTAATTTTGTTTCTCCAGTGTCGTCTGAGGTTTCTGACTTTGAACAAAACTCGTTTTCATCACAGTAGTCTTGCCTAACTTTGTTCCTTGTCCTTACTATCTATTTGTATAAATTCCTGCATCAGTGAGCCTGTGATTTTGGGGCTCTCACTGTAAGGCTCTGTGAACTGACATTAGTGGA